AATAGCTGCATTGATGTCTGCAATCTATGAAGAACACAAAGATGAAGATGGGTTCCTCTACATGACTTACAGCGGAGAGAACACTTTTGGATCTTTTATCGCTGCTTGAATAAGTATCGAGCGATCGATGACTTTGATGATGTACATACATAAATCAGGAAGATAAGATGTACATTCCTTCCTTCTTCTCTCTGGCTTTTACTTTGCTTTGATGTTTGAATCTTTTTCCTTTTGGGGTTTTTATCTTTGGATTTGGTGATTTTACTCAAATAACAATGATTCACTTCCATATCAAAGTAATCGATCTTGCAAAACTTGTTCATATCATCAGAAAAACAAGAGTAGCAACCAACAACTGAAAGATTGCAAAACTTGTTCATATTGTCACATAAAAATCACAAAAGGCAAAACCTTGGTGTAAGTATTTTTAACCACACCTATACAACATCCAAAGCAATAGATAATCTCATGACCTTCCTCATCTGTTCTAGCATTCTGGAACGAGACTGAGTAGTTCTCCATTGATTTCTTTCAAATTGTAAAGTCGACGGGTTTTTTGCGGTTTTACCGAACAAGATTCAAGAATGATGTCAAAGAATCAACATCTCTCTTCTCGGATGGATACTTGATTGGTCTTGAAGAGTTCTTTGGGAACACAAGTATTGTTGGGAAGCTCCCAAGCTGCAACTCCCTTTTAGCAAACTCCTTTTGGTCACCATCAGCTCTAAACTTTGCAACCTTCACGCCACTTCCGTTTAACTTATCCGCCAATTCATCAAACGAAGCTTCCATTGCTTGACAGAATGGGCACCACGGTGCATAAAGCACAACGATCCAAGCCTCTTTCCGGTTCTCCAACTTCATCAGATTCTCTACACCTTGCCTACTCAAGTTCACGACATTCTCGCTTTTGAAAATATCCACGACTGTGGATGTCCCGTTGATATTAGCGGTTGCATTTCCGTTGTCACTCTCTTTGATATTCCCTTTGTGAAGTCCACACTCTTTAGCCTTAGCATCTTCCCACCACCATCTCCCTTCTCTCTCGTGCTGACCCGGTAAAACCGCTCTCGTGCACGGCTCACACCCGATCGAAACATACCCTGCAGCATGAAGAGTGTTAACAGGAACATCCATAGTCCTCAAGAAACTCCAAACATCGTTCCCTTCGACATTCGCAACAGGATTCCACTTCACCAAACTACCAGCTCCACCATCTAATCCTTCAAACACTGGATCAACTTGAACAACCGGAATCTCTGATCTTGTTCCGGGAGATTGATCTTTTCTTTGCCCCGTGATCCAAGCGCGCAAACCCTTCAAAGCACGCCTCAAAGGTCTCACCTTTCTTATACGGCAACACTCTTGGTGACCATCTTCATAGAAAGAGAACAAACCCTTGTTCCTAACCAAAGCTTGAACCTCAACAGCATCAGGAAACATATACTCGATCCGAATACCGTAATGTTTCTCAACAGTATCGAAAAGCCTGTATGTTTCTGGATTCAATCTCCCTGTGTCTAAACTAAAAACCCTAAAAGGTCTTCCAGTTAAATGAGCATACTCAATAAGAGCAACATCTTCAGCTCCACTGAAACCAAACCAAAAGAAACAAAATTTCCCAATTAGCAAAAACTGTCATCAATAACTAAACAAAAATCAAATCTTTGATCAGATTATCATTACCTAAAGGCAATAGCAATGTCGTTTCCAAATTTCTCAAGAGCTTTGTCCATAATTTCAAGAGGAGAAGCATTCTCTAGCTTCTTTGCTAGTTCCTCAAAATCTTCAACCTCAATCACATCTAGTTTCTCAGTCACCTCTGTTTTGTAATTAAGACGCAAAGTTCCTTAGCATAATAAACCCTTAACCAAAGAAATTGATCAAAAGATCAATTGAAAAAATCAACCAGAACGTACCAGAAACCAACATTGATTCCTTTGTAATCGACTGCACATTTAAAGGTTTCACCGAGGATCGCTTCCCGGACAAACTCACAGAAACAGAGGAGACATTAACACGATCTGATAACCTCAAAGAACCGATTTTTGGAGCTGTATTGATCAAAAAAGGAATCGAATTCGAATTAGTTTCGTCATTGATCGCTCTTTACAAAGAAGAAGAAATCGAATTTGAACGAATTGAAGAAACAATACTCAAAATAAACCACAAAACACAATGACCCATCAAGCCATTCCTAAGAATTTCAACGGAAATTGAGCTCTGATTCTGTTAAAAATGAGATTTTTGATGCTTTATATATTGAAAAAAATGTGTTACCTTTGAGATCAGAAGAAGGGAAGCTAGAGCTCGAGATCTT